ATCATTTGGCCATGGGGAAGTAGTGAGCCGAGGTGGCGCAGTGGTTAGAATGCAGTACTGCAGCTACTTCAGCTGACTGCTAGTTCAGCAGATCTGCAGATCAAATCTCACCGGCTCAAGGTTGACTCAGCCTTCCATCCTTCCGAGGTGGGTAAAATGAGGACCCAGATTGTTGGGGGCAATATGCTAATGCTAATGCAATATGCTAATATGCAATATGCTATATGCTAACTTTGTAAACCACTTAGAGAGGGCTGTAAAGCACTATGAAATGGTATATAAGTCTAAATAATAATAATAATAATAATAATAATAATAATAATAATAATAATAATAATAATAATGGTCATAAGTGTGGAAAATGGTCTCTTTTTTCAGTGCTGTTGTAACTTCAAAGGTCATTAAATGAATCATAAATCGAGGACTACCTGTAATAGAAGCAAAGAGAGATAAAAATGGCACGGAAGCAGCCATCAAATAAAAACAGAATCCCCAGGGAATATAAAAGTGTGCATGTTTTTTCCGTATTACTTCTTCAGAAATTTGCTATATACCAAATGCAGAAAACTACTATAATTTTTACCTTACTTTTCAGTTGTCTCTAAGACAACAAGATAAAAGCACAGTGGAGAAAGAGAAGAGCAAGAATCTTAGCAGTGGGAAGGAAAGCATCTACTGTATTAGAGCGAATATATGACCTTAGTCTTTGTAGAGATAATAATACAGAAAAATAGTCATTACTTTTCCCTAATCCATTAGAATGGTGTTGTTGGAAGCAAGAAGTACAAAATAGCAATAACAATAGCACTTATATACCACTTTACAGTGCTTTACCGCCCTCTTAAGTGGTTTACAGAGTCAGCATATTGCCCCCCAACAATTTGGGTCCTCATTTTACCCACCTCAGAAGGATGGAAGGCTGAGTCAACCTTGAGCCTGGTGAGATTCGAACTGCCAAATTGCAGGTAGCCGGCAGTCAGCAGAAATAACCTGCAGTGCTTCATTCTAACCACTGCGCCACCGTATAATAAACACCACAACAATATTAATGTTACTTTCTTAAAGGTAAAGATAAAGGTTTCCCTCACACATATGTGCTAGTCGTTCCTGACTCTAGGGGATGGTGCTCATCTCCGTTTCAAAGCCGAAGAGCCAGCGCTGTCCAAAGATGTCTCCGTGGTCATGTGGCCGGCATGACTAAATGGCAAAGGCGCACGGACGCTGTTACCTCCCCATTAAAGTTGGTCCCTATTTTTCTACTTGCATTTTTTACGTGCTTTCAAACTGCTAGGTTGGCAGAAGCTGGGACAAGTAACAGGAGCTCACCCCGTTACGCAGTACTAGGGATTCGAACCACTGAACTGCCGACCTTTCGATCAACAAGCTCAGCATCTTAGCCATTGAGCCACCACGTCCTTTCTTAGTTAATGCTTAGTTATTAATTGCATACTTCTGGAACTGAAATGCCAGTTGCCTATTTTGGGGAATGAAAAATCTTAATACTCTCCTCAGCGAAAAACTGTGTTGAGGCATGAGGCTGACATGAAAAAGCACTCCAACTGGGCCCCTCTTTTGTCAGAAAATAATTCAGCAGTTTTAAACATTCAGATTTTTTTTCTCCAGATAAAAATAAACAAACGTTACATGTGCTGGAATATAGCAATCCTGATGCTTATTGATTAGTTGGACTTCTCCGATAAGCTGTTCAGTGAAGGAGCATTGGGGATTAATATTTTGTAATAAATGGCTTTATTTACAAATGCAGCAGTAGAATCTAGATTTATTTTTTTACCTATCTGTGTCATCTGTTTTCTTTCTCCAGTCATCTTTTTTTTTCCTTGTCCTATTATGATGTTATCTTTTTGTTCTTGTCCTTATAGTGTCTATAAAGTTTGCCTTCATTTGCCTCCAATTTTTTTAAAATAAATCTCTTGTTTCTCCCGTGTGATTATTCTCAATTTCTTTACATTGCTTTCTTACGTAGGGAGTCAGCAAACACCCACCCACCCCATAAGAATGAGAAATGAAAAAAATCTTAAGGGGGGCAGAAACCTAGCACCAGCCTCCCTTCCCCCAAGCAGACACTGAAGAGGCATCTTTTAGAAATGCAGATTTGGTAATCCATTCAAAACAGGATATTTTGAAACAAAGGCAGAATGGTAGGATTAGAAGCAGCCTCACTCAAGATCCAGGACAAAAGTCATTAAACCACAATAGCAATTGTCCAACACTCCAACACTCATTGCACCATCCCAGAGCAGTCCAAACCTCACCTGAGAGCTCAGATAAGCAACAAACAAAAGGTTGACAAATTAGCCCAGACAAGCACCTAGGATTTACATTTTGTATTTTGCCTATAGAGCCAGCTATGACCCCTACAAAACCCCTACTTGACCCCATAGGAATCTGACAACAGCCAATAGAAAATTAAAGGACATGTTCTTGCACAGGAACAGGAAGCTCAAATACAAAGCCCAAAGAAGATATAAAACCTCACCCACTCTCAACTCCATTTTGAATGATGGCATGTGAGAGTGGGTGAGAGGGAAATGTCCTTGTGTCTAGTTTCTCTGGTGTGCAATTCCCAGTTGCAATGTATGGCTGTGAACATTGGACCATAAGAAAGGGTGAGCGCCAAAGAATTGAGGCCTTTGAACTCTGGTGCTGGAGAAGACTCCTGCGAGTCCCTTGGACCGTAAGGCGAACAAACCGGTCAGTCCTAGAGGAGGTCAACCCTGACTGCTCTTTAGAAGGCCAGATCCTGAAGAGGAAACTCTAATATTTTGGCCACCTAATGAGAAGGAAGGACTCACTGGAGAAGAGCCTAATGCTGGGAAAGATTGAGGGCAAAAGAAGAAGGGGACGGCAGAGAACGAGGTGGCTGGATGGAGTCACTGAAGCAGTTGGCATGAGCTTAAATGGACTCCAGAGGATGGTAGAGGACAGGAAGGCCTGGAGGAATGTTGTCCATGGGGTTGTGATGGGTCGGACACAACTCCGCAACTAACAATAACAACAACAACTGGTTCAAAATCTTATGGGATTTGGGGATTACTATCAAAAATGCTATGATCTTCAAGATTTTGTCAGATTTTTTAAAAAAAAGATAGAGACAGCCTTGATAGGGACTATCTTCAGTAATATTGTCAATTTATTTCTATTTATTCACCCCGTTTATTTTTTTTGTGGAGTATAATGTCCCCAGACTACCAACTGGGAACCATGGCTTTATAGCTGGGAAACAGATGTTGAACATATGAGACAAAGGATTTAAACTTCTGTAGACTCAAATATTATCCTACTTCAGACACATTATGTATAGGAGCTGGGGCAAGAAGCTGGGGCAAGCTGCATAATGTGTCTGAAATAGGATAATATTTGAGTTTACAGAAGTTTAAATCTGTCATCTTGTACTTTCAACATCTGCTTCTCAGCTATAAAACCATGGTTCCCAATTGGTAGTCTAAGGACACTATAGTCCACAAAAAAATAAATGGGGCAAATAAATCGAAAGGCCAAGTGTTTTTTTTTTCCCTTCCAAAAGTTTTTATAAAAATATACTGTAAATCATATATTCCCAAAAGCTACATTTCAGGTTTGGGGGAAGAAAAAAAAAAAAAGATACGCAGCTTTGATAGAAGGAATCTCCTCTCTAAAACCTTGATTGGTGTATCTAGGATTCTATAAGCAAAACAGATCCACACAAACCTGAGAGTTTTTAAAAAACTTCTACAATAACAAGACACTCAATAGTAAGGAAGATATTAAGTTACAAATAGGTCCCCATTTAATTTGATTAACACTGCTCCAGTGGGGTCTCAGCATCATTAAGGTGGTAAAAATGGGACAAAGGTCACTTAACAAATGTCTCACTTAATAACAGACATTTAGGGCTCAATTGTGGTCGCAAGTCAAGGCCTACTTGTAAAATTTTATTTTATTTTTTTATTTTATTTTTTTATTTTTAAACAAAACATAAAACAACCATCATCTATTACAATAACAGAAAGTGTGTCGATCGGTTACAAATCTTTCGTGCTTAATCCCATATCCAAAATTCTCTTATTTGACAATTTATTATATCTCTTTGTATTATTATTCTCATTTACCAATTATTTAACAGTAGCTTATCTCCCGTAAAAAACGCTTCATATATTTTATTATTACATTCATTTCATGTTTTATATTTCATTTCCATACTTTATTACCTAGCCATTGATAAAATGGCTGTTTTAAACGTATTTTAATTGTTTATATTGTATGTTTTTTAATTTTGGCTGTTCACCGCCCCGAGTCCTTCGGGAGAGGGGGCGGTATAAAAATCTAATAAATAAATAAATAAATAAAAATAAATCCCATATCAAGTAATATTGTTTGTCTTCCTGTTCTCTAATTTCAAATGTCAATTGACTCATTTCAGCACATTCCAAAATTTTCTTAGTAACTTCATCATCAGTAGGTATCTTCTCGCCTTTCCAATTTTTAGCAAATACAATTCTAGCCGCTGTTAAAACATTCACAATTAAGTATCTCAGTTCTCTATTATATGTTTCTGGTAAAATCCCTAATAAAAATATCTCTGGTTTAAAGTCAATGTGTTTCTTTGTCATTTTTTCCAACCATGTGTGGATTTTAGTCCAATATCTTTTGGCTTCTGCACATATCCATCACATATGGTAATATAGTATGAACCCGGAGTCTGATGACACTTCCAACACTTCTCCGATTTATTCTTGAACATTCTGGCTATTCTCGCCGGGGGTAAATGCCACCTGTAAAACTTCTTATACAAATTCTCCTTATATGCTGTAATACATCACAACAGCCGACCAGTAGAAGGCAGTATTCATAAATCTGCATCTGTGGTTATACTCTATGTCCTTTTGTTCTGAGGACAGTTTCCTCCTACAGTTATTAACATTTAAGCGGCAAGGCCCATGGTGTATTTGATCTGTAGGGCTATATATAAACAGAATTTCTTACACCATTTTGCTTTGCAGCAAGGCCACAACATCATTCGGGGACTGCATTCCATCTGTTTCAGATGAAGCCGAGAAGGGAACTGAATGTCCCAGTTCCCCGGAATAAGAGCCTCTATATAGCCTTAATGTCATGGTAAGTAAGTGGGAGAGAATAGAATAGAATTCTTTATTGGCCAAAATGTGATCGGACACACAAGGAATTTGTCTTTGGTGTAAATGCTCTCAGGGTACAAAAGGAGAATAAAATACATTCATCAAGAATAAAAAAATACAACACTTAGTGATAGTCAAGTTTAGTAATAAGCTATCAAATTGTACTAGGAAACAAATAAAAACAATATAAATCGAAAGATACAAGATACAAGGTTATAGTAATAAGTGGGAAGAGATAGATACTAGTAAGGAAGAGAAGATTAATAGTAATACAGTCTTAGTAAATTATTTGACAGTGTTGTGGGAATTATTCGTTTAGCAGAGTGATGGCATTTGGGAAAAAACTGTTCTTGTGTCTAGTTGTTCTGGTGTGCAGTGCTCTATAGCGTCGTTTTGAGGGTAGAAGTTGAAACCATTTTATGTCCAGGATGTGAGGGGTCTGTAAATATTTTCACAGCCCTTTTTTTGACTCGTGCAGTATACAGGTCCTCAATGGAAGGCAGGTTGGTAGCAATTGTTTTTTTTCTGCAGTTCTAATTATCCGTTGAAGTCTTGTTTGGTTGCAGAACCAAACCAGACAGTTATGGAGGTGCAGATGACAGACTCAAGAATTCCTCTGTAGAACTGGATCAGCAGCTCTTTGGGCACTTTGAGCTTAATTGGGGGCAAGCAAAGGAGGATGGAGAGAAAGTAGCAGTAGAGGGAGAGAAGAAGCTTCCCCTGTATTGTCAGAAGATTTAGTCTGTTAGAGAAACAGAATGAAACTTTCAAAAACAGGCCCATGGAAAGGGTTCTTAACCTGGGGATAATTTTTCCTTTGGACTAAGAGACAAGCCGTAGCGTAATAGCAGGTCAAAAGGGGCTGGGACAAAGAGGAAGGGCTGGAGCAGCCTGGTTGACCTTGAATTCTTTGTTTCTCTCCACTCTTGTTTCCTGCCAGGCTCTGTTGGAGGACAACCAGTTTAGCTGCTTCACTGTGAAAGTAGCTACACTGCTTACATTATATGAGATCCAGTGATGGGTTTCCCCCGGTTCGGACCGGTTCGCAAGAACCAGTAGTAAAACCGGCGGGAGGCCCCACCCACCACCCCGAATGTCATCACCGGCGATCTGCGCATGCACAGAAGCAAGGCGCACACGCAAGCGAAGCAAGGACATGCGATCCCATTGCGAACCGGTAGTAAAGGTAAGTAGAACCCATCCCTGATGAGATCAGGCTCGTTTCTTTTGTAGTGAGTAGAGAAAAATCTGTTTGCAATACTTAGAGAGTAAGAAGGGGGGAAATAGAAAACAAAAGAAAAAAAGTTAAAGCACACTTCATCTGCTATATCAATTGCGCCCCCTCCTAGGTCAAGAGGCCTTTCAGATAGTTACTCATGCCATTGTCAACTTGCAGCTTGATTACTGCAACAAACTCCACATAGGGTTGCTCTTGAACCTAAGCCAGAAGCTTCAGTTAGGCTCATTGCCATTTTGGACACTTTCTGCTGGGGCAGCCAAATCAAAGGAAAGGTTTTCCTTGTAAACTGGACAGAAGAGAGGGTAGCTGGAACTTCTCATGCCTTGTAGTGCTTGACCCAGCTGGCCACTGATATCTTTTCCTTCTTTTGCCCCTACAGCAAGGTCCCACCAGCCATGGACTCGCATTCTAGAAGCGTTACTTGTGGAAGTCATGCTCGTAGACAACTGCAGCTTCCTGTGGATGGCATTCATGGAGAAAAAAAGATGAAGATGTTCCAGAGATACCATCTTCAGCAATTTTTCCAGGCATTCCAGAGAAGTGCACATCATTTCTGTGTTTCCTTGCAGGTGGAGAAGAAGTTGTTGGAGCAGACCTCAGAGGCCGCCTTTGGCAGTCTCCCACTTCAAAGCACCTCATTTTTATTTTGAAGGGCGTAGAAGTCCTGGGAGGAGCCTTAAGGTACACTTGGCCATTGTAAACATTCAGAGAATCAAGAGTTAAAGCTCCTGTTAAATGACCCACTCACATTGTGCTTTGGCAATGAGATTTTTGATTCAAGGAAACAAGCAAAGGTGTTCTCTCTTGGTCAATTCCACAGAGCTCTGAGTCACACGGCTGGAGATGTTCCTCCTCAGTCTCAAACCAGTTTCTCTACTGTGGAAATCATCAGCCTAGGATCAATATAAGTAGCAAACCTAAAATACTATGGATTTTAAGCTTTGGGTGCCCCGTCCCCCTGCTCTTGGGACCATGCCTGATATAACCTCTCTCTTGGGACAAAAGGGCAGGTAGGATTTTTCCTTTCATTCCACTTGATGATGGACTAAGGAATCCCTGGAGAAACTTGGCAACAGTGTAATGGACTTCTTTCTATCTCCTCCAGCTTATTAGAGTCCATCAAGCATTTCCCGAAGTTCCCAAGGAGGTCTGGGATGCTGGAAAAACATATGGTTTCATTAATGAAGGTAATTTCATTTAGAGCATCAAGGGAAAGAGATGAGGGTGAAAAGAAAGATCCCACTCTTTGTATCTCAAATGGGTTATATATTTACCCTATAGATTAAACTTCAACATCTCTGTGTCATTCAGTTGTACTCACTGACTTAAATCGGTGTAAGGTTCCCTACCATTTGCCAACTTCCCTCCTTTTTTTTTTCTTGTTCTCTTTATTTCTTTTCTATCCAGATGACCTAGAAGTAGAGGAGCTGTGATCTTCCCATCCACCCACCCACCCAATATTGAACAAGTTAAGGTGGGGCACGGGTGGGTTCTACTTACCTTTACTACCGGTTCGCAACGGGACACAGAAGCGTTTTGATGACGTCAGGGTCAGCAGGCGGAGCCTCCTGCCGGTTTTACTACCGGTTCTATAGAGAGCTGGATCATCAGTTTGCCTGTCCATTCAAGGTGATTGTTGGTTTTTCATTGGCCATGACCAATACGATGGACGGGATCCTATGGGGAGTATGGCTGGCTCCTCCCCCTAGGATCCATCTTGTGAAGGACTCAGGATGTGCACTTAGGATTTTAAATTTCCACCAGATATGTAAGAAAACATAGAAAAAATACCACATACTGCTTGTTGTGTGCCTCTGGAGAAACAGGTCAACTGCATCTGGTTGAAAGGCCCTGTGATCCAACATTCTATACCTTCAGTGGTCCACCAAATTGATGTTCTTTGAAAATGCAAACCCAGAATATGGGGGAAACAGGTTCCTCGATTCCCAGTTCACTTTCTTCAGAAAAAAAGGTCTGTGAATTATTGTGTTTTTGTTCTTCTTTCCGTCTATGTTTGACATAAACGTAGAAGGAACCTGACCAAAGCTATTTTTTATTTTGGAGAAACAAATTACTGCCTGATATTCTTTGTTTCACAAGTTCTTTTAACTTGACTGGGTGCCATCTATGTTCCCTCTAAGGTGTGTGTGTGTGTGTGTGTGTGTGTGCACGCACACATACATATGTGTGTAACTTGTGTGTGCATCCACACTACTCATGAAACTGACACATACGGTAAGATATTGCCCGCTAAAAATTAAAGTTCAATAATAATAATTCCTCTCTGTCACAGGGAAAGGCCCTTAGTTTGTTCCATCTACAACTTTCAACTATGACAACTAATGGCTGTATTGTTCTGTTGTACACTTCTGACTTTATAATAAACCCTGCCATTTGTGTTTTTAGATCATTGGACCATCCTCAGTCACTTCAAGAATGGACCTCTCTGCTATTCAACTTCTTCTTTTTCAAAGATGGCACTGAGACAAGATGTGTTGTGGAACAGATTCCAACAGTAGCCACTTTTAGTACGTTGCAGTAGGTAGGTGGTCTAGATCAGGGGTCTCCTCCAGCCTTAAAGTTGCCAAGGTTGGAGACCCCTGGTCTAGAGAGATGGACTAAGACAGTGATGATTAACCTTTTCGGCACTGAGTGCCAAAACTGGAGCGGGTGTGCGCCCCGGAGTGCTGAAACCTGGAAGAGAGCAGTTGGCCGATGTGCATGCATGCGGCGGCCAGCTGCATTTCCAGGTTCTGTCGTGCACGTGTGCGCCAGCCAGCTGGTCTTTGTGCGAAAATCAGCTGGCTGGTGCACATGCACGTGCTGGAACCCAGAAGACAGCAGCTGGCCGCTGTGCACATGTGTGCTGGGCCAGCTGTCCGGCGCTCGTGTGCGACGTAACCCAGAAGAGCAACTGGCAGCGGCACGCATGCCCACAGAGAGGGCTCTGTATGCCAACTCTGGCATGTGTGCCATAGGTTCGCCATCACAGGACTAAGAATTGGTAGAGTTTCTGCAAATGTGGGGTTTTGCTCTACTGAACCTGGTTGCTGCTGCTTTTTGCCATACAATTTGTCTCTCTTGTTAGGCCGCGTACCAGCTTCGGATAGAATCGCATGTGGTGTCTGGAACTCACCTTGGCTGGACCATCGCCTTTCCAGGAACTGACAGTTGGCTGATTGGATTATTGGATGCACCAGGCGTACGGAGCAGTTTTGGCATGTGGATAAGTTGTTACGCACTGTCTGGTGTACTTGGAAAGGCTGACAGAGTGTCTGGAGGCTGTAGGGTGAGGCACACACCCTCTGGAACATCCTCCCTCCTGAGATTAGAATTGTCCTGATCCTATTGGCCTTCCAGAAGACCTTCAAGTCCTGGTTTTGTGTCTTCAGTCCCAAGTGTGTGAAGGCCCCATTGATGTTAACAACTATCAATTAAATTATCTTCTGGTTGCTCTATGTATTTTGTGTGTGTGTGTGTTCTGTTTTTAAGTTGTTCAAACGATTTTATGATTGTTTCCTGCTCAGAATCATTTATTTCAGATGGATGGCTATACAAACTGAATAATTAAATAAACTTTGGATGCTATTTCTTCGCTTTTTTCCCCCCTAATGACCCTATGCTTCTTTTCTATATTACCTTTTTTAAAAAAAACAAAAGCCTGCATGTATTTAGTTATCTGATCCTCAATCATAAATTATGTTACCAAATAAGACCCTGTTTTGTAGAAAACCTTGCACTGGGTCCAATTCGGGCACCTCCCGTCCCTCAAAACTTTGCAGGAAAATTACACCCACACAAAAAAACCCTCACAAAATATCAAGAGATTGACAGATTTCAGTGATTTTGTGCAATTTTCATCTCAATATTTTGTATTTCTTTACAAAATCAGCTCCGATGCATAAACTTGATTGTACATGACATTTACCTCAGAAAAAAAGGGGTACAGCTCCTCAAAGCCTCTGGGGTGGGGGTCGGGGTTGGGGGCGGCCCTGATCCCTTAACGAAATGTCGCCCCACAGTTACGACATGTTCGTTGTCTCAAGGCGAGGCAAAAAATGATCCCGACGGGGGAAAAAAAGATGGCGCAGAGGATGCCAAGGCAGGTAAAGATGTCTTCCAGCACGCCAACTCTGCAAGCCAGACAGTCACCCATGACTATGACAGATGTGGTGGGAGGGGGCTGCTGGATTAATGTATACGTAGTATTGGGATAGTTGTGCAGCCGTGCGGCCGTGAACTAGCTGGAACCGTATATCCTGGTCCGGTCCCCGCGGAGAACGGGTAGGGCGGCGGCGGCAGGATGACCCCGTAGGTATGGGCTGCATAGTTGCCTGCCGGCCTGTAAGGGCTGTACGGCAGCGGCTGGTCCAGGCTTGCTGTCCATCGTGATGGAGTCAGACCGGAGACTCCAGAAGACGAGCTGGGATTCTTTTTTTGGGATGGGGTGTGGGAAGGAGGCTTAGACCAGGAGGGCTGTTGGGTCCCGACTGCAGACAGTAAGATCTTAAAAGAGTTTAGGAGGTGTTAGAATCTTTTGTAAGTGAGGGAAACTTATGGGGGGCATCAGATTGTCAGCATCTCTGCAATAATTATTTTCCTTACATTTAGAGAAACATCATGAGTCATTGTGGTCTCACTTCCCATTATTTCCATCAACAAAAATATATTAAAATAAAATTGGCAGAACTTGCAAAACTATCAGGGTTAACAGACATTTTTCAAAATTTCAACTCATGTTCTTCCATACTATGAAATACTACCACTAGTGTTTTAAATATACCTATTGAAAGGAAATCCTTCAAATACGTAGGAATCAATGCTATTAAAAATATGTAATAACCAAATATTGTTATCATAATTTAATCCCAATGTGGGGGGGGGGGGAAGAAAAGAAAAATACTTAAAATATTCTGGTTTGAAATGCGATCGTTTAAAACGATGGCTGTTTCGAAATTAAATATTTTATTTCAAACTCTTTTAGTAGAAGTGCCAAATTAATGTTATAGCAAAGGATAAAAAAATCATTTCCCCCCCACTCCTCAAAACTAAGCAATGAAGAATCAATAGAAAAAGCAGATATACACCCCAGAAACGAGAAGGATGAGGAGTTCCATTTTGAAAATTATTTTTATCAGCAGCACATTTTGGTCATATTATTTCCTTGACTTGAAAAACTGTGGAATGTAAGCCTCACAGTAGCCAGGGTTTGTTTGTTTCTGAGCTCTTCCTTGTGTTTTTTCCCCCCAGGGATTTAAGACAGTCTCAAAGGCACTGGACCACACTTGGTTTCCAATTATAAAAGGAAAATGTCAAGAGCACCGAAATGTGCACGCTTAGGGTTATTTTGGAGGAAGGTTTGTATTATTTGGGAGAACAGCATGGAAGAAATTGCAGCCAAACTCTGCAGGCAACTGAAGATGAATGAAGGGCAGGATTAGAATAGAATAGAATAGAATAGAATAGAATAGAATAGAATAGAATAGAATAGAATAGAATAGAATAGAATTCTTTATTGGCCAAATGTGATTGGACACACAAGGAATTTGTCTTGGTGCATTCACTCTCAGTGTACATAAAACAAGATACATTCATCAAGAATCATAAGGTACAACACTTAATGATAGTCATAGGGTACACATAAGCAATCAAATCATATTAGGAAATAGTCATTGTAAATCATAAGGATACCAGCAACAAGGTTACAGTCGTATAGTCATAAGTGGGAGGAGACGGGTGATAGGAGCAATGAGAAGATTAACAGTAGTGCAGACTTAGTAAATAGTTAAGTGTTGAGGGAATTATTTGTTTAGCAGAGCGATGGCGTTCGAGAAAAATCTGTTCTTGTGTCTACTTGTTCTGTGCAGTGCTCTATAGCGTCTTTGAGGATAGGAGTTGAAACAATTTATGTCCAGGATGTGAGGGGTCTGTAGATATTTTCACAGCCCTCTTTTTGACTCGGGCAGTATATGGGTCCTCAATGGAAGGCAGGTTGGTAGTAATTGTTTTTTCTGCAGTTCTAATTATCCTCTGAAGTCTGGGTCCGTCTTGTTGGGTTGAATGTCAGGAAACCAGCAGCAAGAGCATCAGAGAGCCCAGTAGCACTGAAACACTGAAAGTATAGCCAGCCAGCTGCTCAGAAAGCACCTTTCTTTTCCCAACCCAGCACAGAATGAGCAACTGCTACCAATACTTTGGTAGCAATTCAGAACAAGCGTTAACGTCCACTGACTTGGAATGGCTAAAGACTTGGTTGAGAGCCAGTTTGGTGTCGTAGTTAAAGCACCAGGTTTGAAAACAGGAAACTATCAATTCTAGTTCTACTTTAGGCACACAGGCAGTTCAAAGGAGAACAGAATGGTTCTTCCAACTTTCTAGTTTATTTTTTACTGGCCTGTAGAACACCAGCCCTAAGATCAAAATACAATGAAATGAAAATTAAATGGATTCCATTTTAAGCGAGGCAGATTTACGGTCAAACCTTTTGATCTCAGTACAAGTGGATGAGAGAGTAAATGGAAGGTTAATTAGAATCACAGAATCATGAAACAGATCTTGGAGGTCTTCTAGTCCAGCGGTCACCAACTGGTGGTCCATGGACTACCGGTGGTCCGCGAGAAAATGTTGGTGGTCCGCAGAAAAAATATTTGCATTTTTAACATTGCACTAAATCAGGGGTCCTCAAACTACAATCCCTGGAATGGATACGTGCAATGAACGTTTGTGTTGCTGCAGAGAGTCTCCCCCTTTGAGGTCTTTTTGTGTGGGTCGGAGGAGGGCAGAAATTCCGACTTGGGGTCTGCTTCGGCCGCCTGGTGTGGGGCTTTGGGCAAAGGCTGGAGGGAAGTGCCGCTGGTGGCGAAGAGCCGGAGGACCTTGTTCCAGTGGGACTGCATCATGGCCTGGAACTGGCTGACCAACTCAGCCCGATGAGCCTCCAGGAGCCAGTACCTGGTTTTGCACTCCGCAGGTCTTCCCTCTACTTGGAAAGCCTATGCTCATAGTCCTCAGTGAGGTGCTTCTGCTGAGCCTCCTTTTCGGTCAGATCCAATTTGAACTGAGCTGTTTTGCCAACTCTTTCTCGTGATGGTTGCTTAGCTCCAACAACTGCTTCCTGTTGGGGCCCTAAGGAGCACAGGGGGGGAGGAGGCAAGGAGCTGGCCACACCCACCCAGTCACATGACCACCTAGTCACGCCCATGCAGCCCATCATTATGCAGATCATATTAGTGGTCCGCGGGATTTAAAATTATGAATTTAGTGGTCCCTGAGGTCCGAAAGATTGGTGACCCCTGTTCTAGTTAACCCCCAGCCCAAGGCAGGCATCCTTATTCCGCCCTGGACAAATAACTCTGCAATCTTTTCTTAAAAACCTTCAGCAATGAGCACTCACAACTCCTGGAGACAAGGTATTCTACCAGTTAATTGTTCTCACTGTAAGTAAATTTCTCCTTACTTCCAGGTTGGATCTTTCTTTAATGAGTTTCTGCCCATTGCTTCCTGTCCTGCCCTCAGATGCTCTGGAGAATAAGTTCAGCCCCTCTTCTCTGTGACAACCACTCAAGAACTGGAAAACAGCTATCATGTCCCCACTAATCCTTCTCTTTGTTAGGCTAAACCAGGGGTGTCAAACTCAAGGCCTGGGGGCCGGATCCAGCCTGTGGGGTGTTTAGATCTGGTTCGCAGAGCTGCCCTGGAAACAGCAAAGAACCAGCCTGTGGGGCCTCCGCCAGTGAAAACAGAGCTCAGGAGGGCCGCACAAGGCCCTCCCGAGCTCCATTTCCCTGGCAGAGGGTTGCAGGAGGACGTCGCAGCCAAAAACGGAACTCAGGAGCCTGTTTTCACTGGCAGAGTGCTCAGGCCTCCACAGGCGCCCCCAACATGAGTGATGTTGAGCTGGCCACTCCCACCCTGGACATGCCCATCCCAGCCTCCCAAAGTCAAACACAACCCTGATGTGGCTCTCAATGAAATCGAGTTTGACACCCCTGGGCTAAACATACAGAGTTCCTGCAACCGTTCAACATATAGTTTAGCTTCTGGGCCACTAATCATCTTTCTTGCTCTTCTCTGCACTTTCTAGGCTCTCAACATTTATTTATTTATTTATTTGGATCAGGATGAGTTAAGGTGTTCTGTACAAGCATCAGGTTTCTAAAACTAGTTATTTATCACTTTAAAAAAGGTAAAAGTTCTCCTCGCACATATGTGCTAGTCGATTCCAACTCTAGGGGATGGTGCTCATTTCCGTTTCAAAGCCGAAGAGCCAGCGCTGTCCGAAGACGTCACCATGGTCATGTGGCCAGCATGACTCAATGCCAAAGGCGCACGGAACACTGTTACCTTCCCACCAAAGGTGGTCCCTATTTTTCTACTTGCATTTTTTACGTGCTTTCAAACTGCTAGGTTGGCAAAAGCAGGGACAAGTAATGGGAGCTCACCCCGTTACGCGGCACTAGGGATTCAAAATGCTGAACTGCTGACCTTTTGATCGACAAGCTCAGCGTCTTAGCCACTGAGCCACCGTGTCCCTTATTCATCTCTTTATCTTGGAGCAAATTTCTTTGGAAAGCAGCACAGAATCAATG